TCAATGTTGATGGTATTCTACCGTAACTATACAGTAAGTGTACTTTCAATGTTGATGGTATTCTACCGTAACTATACAGTAAGTGTACTTTCTAGTAAACTCTTTTTCATTTTGGTATTATTTAGAAAATCAACAAAACTGGATTTGCAATTAAATGATGTCCATTTTTTAAACATTAAGATTGAAGATGCTAATATATGATATACTTTAATATTTAAAATTCTGATTGAGTCACAAATTTGTTTCAACACGAAACTGCAGAGTGATGTGTTGGAATTCTGAGTCACCACATTGCACTCTTTCAGACTTAAAAGTCATTGTTAAAAATTTCTGTACTACACACACTTAGAAACCTACAACTATTGTCAACAGTTCTAATATTTTTCTGTTCAGTTTTGTATATGTTAACAGAAAAGTAGAATTTTCGTTACTTTTAGTTAAAACTTTAATACGCAGTGACTATGATGGTATTTCAGAGTTTATAATGACATGTCTCAGTTTAATGTTGAAGTGGAAAAAACCCAACAAGACAATAACATGGTAGCAAAACATGAAGTTTAACTTGATTAATCAATTACAAAAGATGAACAAATGAAAAACAGAGGCCATTGAAAATGGCTGGTGTTGTTTGTATAGATAGTGTGTACATGGCTGTAGATGTAAAGGTTAAAGGTTATTTTTGTTGTACCATAGTGAAGTGTCTAAAGTGGTCAGTTCTAGTGTTTAGTCATTGGTGGTGTTGTTGAGGATCACTACAAAACTTTCTTTATTATAGTCAGTTTAACTTTGTGTTATTTTGTAAAGCTTTTAGAAATATCTTCAAATTCAAACATTTTCATTTGTAGCAAATATCAATTTTGCATGCCCAGCTGTTTATGGGGGAGCATTTGTTTTTACCCCTGTCATCTGTCCCATTCCAGATCAATGTTGTATCATGAGAACCTCTCACCAGATAATATCTACTGATCACATATTTACAAGTTCTACATCTTACATCAGCAAGGACATTCCTGTCACATTTCACACACTACAGGAGTAAGGTTAGAACCACACACTTCAGGATAAGGTTAGAACCACACACTGCAGGAGTAAGGTTTGAACCACACACTACAGGAGTAAGGTTAGAACCACACACTACATTAGTAAGGTTTGAACCACACACTTCAGGAGTAAGGTTAGAACCACACACTGCAGGAGTAAGGTTTGAACCACACACTACAGGAGTAAGGTTTGAACCACACACTACAGGAGTAAGGTTTGAACCACACACTACAGGAGTAAGGTTTGAACCACACACTACAGGAGAAAGGTTTGAACCATACACTACAGGAGTAAGGTTTGAACCACACACTACAGGAGTAAGGTTTGAACCACACACTACAGTAGTAAGGTTTGAACCATACACTGCAGGAGAAAGGTTTGAACCCTACACTACAGGAGTAAGGTTTGAACCACACACTACAGGAGTAAGGTTTGAACCACACACTACAGGAGTAAGGTTTGAACCATACACTACAGGAGTAAGGTTTGAACCACACTACAGGAGTAAGGTTTGAACCACACGCTACTTGAGTAAGGTTTGAACCACACACTACAGGAGTAAGGTTTGAACCACACACTACAGGAGTAAGGATTGAACCACACACTACAGGAGTAAGGTTTGAACCACACACTACAGGAGTAAGGTTTGAACCAGACACTACAGGAGTAAGGTTTAAACCATACACTACAGGAGTAAGGTTTGAACCACACACTACAGGAGTAAGGTTAGAAGCACACACAATTTTTAGTCCTAACTTTGTTATTGAGTTTCAATTCTTTTGTCGGTGGCCTGTTTTGGAGCATTTACTTCTTTATATTTTATGTTTATTGAACCACACACTAATATCCAACACACTCTTTCCATTACTACAGGATATAGAAATCATTATGCCACACACTGTTAAGGTTAAAACACACCATTTTCACACACTTCTGTTAAGTTTGATGACACACTTAAGGTTTCACCTGCTGATTAATGATTTACACTACAGGAGTAAGGTTTGAACCACACACTTGGTTATTTGAACCACACACTACAGTTAAGGTTTGACCTTGATTTCTATGTTGTTTCCACACACTCAGCATTAATAACCACACACTACAGGAATAAGGTTTGAACCACACACTCTATATAAACACACTGTGTCTGTGCACACACAATTTTTAGTCTATATAAACCTTATGTCTGTGAACCTATCTATATAAACTTCTTTATATTTCATGTTTCTATATAAAAATATCCACTTTCTGTGTGTCTGTGAAACTGTTGTTATATAAACACCATATGTCTGTGAACCACCTGTGATTATATAAACCACCTGTTATGCTGTCCTTTGTTAACCTTGATTTCTATATAAACCTTATCTCTATGTTGTAATAAAAAAGACTGTGAACCTCTCTATATAAATCATGTGTCTGTGAACCTGTCTATATAAACCATATGTCTGTGAACCTATCTATATAAACTCTATATAAACCATGTGTGTCTGTGAACATGCCTATATAAACCATGTGTCTGTGAACCTGTTTATATAAACCATGTGTCTGTGAACCTGTCTATATAAACCATGTGTCTGTGAACCTGTCTATATAAACCATGTGTCTGTGAACCTGTCTATATAAACCATGTGTCTGTGAACCTGTCTATATAAACCATGTGTCTGTGAACCTGTTTATATAAACCACCTGTCTGTGAACCTGTCTATATAAATCATGTGTCTGTGAACCTGTTTATATAAACCACCTGTCTGTGAACCTGTCTATATAAACCATGTGTCTGTGAACCTGTCTATATAAACCATATGTCTGTGAACCTATCTATATAAACTACCTGTCTATATAAACCACCTGTGTGTCTGTGAACATGCCTATATAAACCATATGTCTGTGAACCTGTTTATATAAACCACCTGTCTGTGAACCTGTCTATATAAACCATGTGTCTGTGAACCTGTCTATATAAACCATGTGTCTGTGAACCTGTCTATATGGCATTGAAGACAATCTGACTATCAGTCATCTTAACACACGTTTATAGTAAAACATTCAGCTGATTTTCTCTCTCCTGTTTTTTCTCAAAATGAAGACATTTCTGTGAGATCATACGAATGTCTGATAAAAACATTTTAATTGTTTAAATTTTAGGTAGGAAACTGTTAAACAACAGTTGGATATGTAAACCTTGTACTACAGGTGTTTACAGTACTAGACAAACGTAAAGTGTTAGCTCATCATTTACTAACAATTGACCTGATAGGACCTTCTGTATATATCAGTACACACCTGTATGACACACCTGATAATTACCAGGTATAGGTCAGGAGACCTGATCATTGTCACCTGACCAGGTATATCTCCATCAGTCATTCTGTCTGGATATCTTGATCTGCCTTGGTCAGTAGAAGCCCCTAAGGCTTGTGGACAGACCAAAGAATTTTTTTCTGGTTATGTTCAGGTGTGAAAGGGTTACGCTATCACGTTACAGACTTTCTGTATGATACCCATTTGTAGATTAAGTCAAAACCTCTGGAATTTCTTCTTCATTATACTTAATCATACCTTGACTCTTTCACCTGTGGGCAGTGATACACCTTGTGTTTACAATAACTTTGTTTACTTTTGATGTTAAATAGTCTTTGATTAGGTATACCTGAGGATGGTGTATACAGTTGGATCTTCACAAGTTTGGTATTTATATCTTGTTACAAGGAACTGCTGTAGTGTATCATACAATATAATGGTTTAAGAATCCCAAATCTCTTGTCGAAGTTCTTACAGGTATTTCTATTCATTTGTATGGGGATAAATTGTTGTTAACACTTGTTGACTTTCTAAACAGGAAGAGGAAGTTGACACACCAATAAACAGTCCACTGGGAAATCTTAAGTAGTGTCTCCGTGTATATTACTTGTCTAGGTTAAACCTGAGGGTATCTACAAGTGTTATTGAAGTATGATCTGCAGTTCATCCAAGTCTGCATCAGTTCAAAATGTCCTGTGTTTAAATTCCTGACATTCCAAATCGTGAATCAGAAGACTTAAGTTGATATCTGTGCAGTGCTGCAGATTGAGTGGAACTTATTTTGTGAAATGTGACAATTTCATATTGAATCTTTATAAAGGAATGTACAGTGTGTACATACTGGTACACATTTACCACAAGGTCTGAGCAATACATGCGAGAATTTAGGCCAACTTTGTTGACACCTGTGGTATAACCCCGGTTCATTGGAGCATATCAAAGGGTAGTAACTGACTACTGGTATTAATCAGTATTTCTTACCTATGTGTATGTGTTAACTGTGCAGTCATTGTTTGTGGAAAGTGTCACATTGGGACCCTTAGGGTCAATTGTCCAGAAACTTGTCTCACAATATCTTATTTTCTTCAACTCAAAGATTCAACCTGCTTAATGTCACTGTGGGCAGTCATCAGAAACACAGGAAGTCCTATTACCTCACTGTTGTTGTGGGATGATCGTGACTTATTCTGAATAGAAAGAGATTTGTTATTGTGTAATATAGTACAGAATCGTGTGTGTATCTGATAATGTTGTGTTAACTCTGTGAACTATCTGTTTCATCATATCTTAAAGCCATCACTTAACTGTAAACGTTAAGAATGTGACCCGTGGAGAAGAAAGTAACGGGAATTTCACCCAGGACCACACCTACGGACTACTAGTGTTTTCTTGCAGGAACTAAATGGATATAGCTGGTCTACAATTCTACATTGTTTGTATATAATTTCATAGGACTGAGGATTTCCTAGGATTGCTCTGATTTTGTTCTCTTATTTACCTGTAAAAATACCTGTAACTGTGAAGAAGTTTCACACCAATTTCCCCTCACAACATTTTGGAAGTTGGACGATTGTGATTTATCAGCATGTTTCGTGTCGTAGCACCAGCTGATGACAGTTTACTGGATTCTAAACATGATTATATTACTGTGCTTTCAGATGGAGGTGACAGCCAACCTTTACCCACATGGAAAACTTACTGTAAGTATTGATTTTTTCTTTACTTTCACTTTAACATCATTTTGTATAGATTTGCGTTTTATTTTCAGTTTCAAATCATTATGTATAAGCATAGCAAGCCAATCTGAAATTTGTGATTCCTTGTTGAGATGGGAGATATTACTGAATTAGGTTTACAACTTAGTACTTTACAACTGAAGTGGCAGACAAAACTTGGGAAAATTTATTGCAGAATTGACCATATTCACGGAATACATGATTTAATGAACACTAGAAATTACTTAAAATTCCTGAATGTATATGCTGAGTTCTCAGAGACATGGAATCCAACTTGTACATTGGTAACCAAATCAACGTAGATTCTATCAATCAAAACTACACTGGGTATTTATAGTCAGGTATATGTGAAGTGCACTTTCCCAGCATGTCAAACCTGAGACATGATGGATGTCCAGATCAAACGATGACCTCAGACTACTGAGTCATCAATATGTCTTCTATTCATTTCATGATATCCAAGGCCAGTTTTTAAAAGTTTCAAATTCCACTTGCCTGATGGCCATTCCGAAATAGAAAACATGCATGTTTGGTAAAAAAAAATTTTGTAGAAAATAAGTTTTAGACTAATGAAGATTTGGGTACAAGAGACTTAACTCTGATAACTCTTTATGTAATTATGAAAGAAAGAGATTAACCTGAATGTTAGGGCTCAAAGATTTAAAAAGTCAATGCCATCAGCAGATGTTAAGATCCTGACACATTCGTATGTCCAACATTTATAAAAAGTCCAAACCCATTATCCCTACAATTCTCATCTGAGTAACATCCAGTGGTTTTCCAGCTCAGCCAGTAGTGATGAATATTACCAGTAGACATATTATACAATTGTTGACATGTTTTCAGGTGAATATGAGGTTTTATTAACCCCTTTATTCACCTGAAAACAGGTTAGTAATGATTGTTTTATTGTACACGACAATAATCAGAGCATCAAAAATTGTAGCACTGTGAGGTTACTTAATGTGAGACTTTGGACACGGATTCTGCCTGTTTTCACGTAACATCACAATAAATTTAGACCGATGAGAGATATTATGATCAGTCAATGTGCAGTCATAGGCCATTATTGTTGATATAAAGATATATTACTAGAATTGTGAGATAATACATTAAAGTTTAGACTTTATAATAAAACCCTGAATTTATTTTATTATTTGTGTTTATGTTATGGACAGCATATATTTGATAAAATTTCTTATCATCCTCTAAATCTTTCGACTGCTGTAGATCTCATTGCCTCACTGTATTAAATAACATACACACTGGTATTTATCCACAGGTTATTGGTAGGGTATGTACTGTTTATATCTGGTTTATATCTCTGCTTTTATTTTCAAATATCAACTCAAGAGGAATTTGATATGATATCCCTGAGACTTCACAAGCTCAAATGGATTTAGATAATTTCTAAATAGTCAATAGGAATCAAAGTATGAAAAAAAGTAAAAAAATCTCAAGAGAATTGAGTAAGTGGAGAATCTTATTTGATATCCTTGAGACGAGACAAGCTCAAATGGATTTAGGTGACTTCCAAATAGTTAATATGATTCAAAGTATAAAAATGAAAGTTAAATGAAATTAAAAAAGTATATAAAATAAGCAGAGAATCTTGATATCCCTGAGACCGGACACACCCAAATGGATTTAAATAACTTCCAAATAGTTGATACGATTCAAAGTGGAAAAATAATGATTTAGAGAAAAAAAAAAATCAAACAAATTGATGAAGGTATTGTAGAACTTGATGTTTCACTTTGGTTTTGCATTACAAAACTGAAAACAGAGTAGGGTATTGAAGGACAGAATTTATTGAAGATTTCTAGAGATTTAAATGATTGATATATACAGTGAATGAAGGTCAAGACTTTTTTAGGACTATATCGGGCTGATAACAGGCTCCATTCCAAAATGAAATTATTTCATATTTAAGCCAGATTCCCAAAAGTTGCACTTTACTAGAGAAAACTTTTTTCCCAACTCAACATTACATCCGTAAACGCAGGGGAAAAGCACCATCCACAACTAGTGAAGAAAAGCCTGGAAGGTAGAAAGGAAGAAAAAAAAGAAAGAATTGGCAGGTATTTTCTTTAAACCATTAATACTATGTTCAACATTATTCTCCAGATCTGCTTCAGATCGATGTTGAACTTCAACAGTATACATCTTCTCATCTAGTGTAAAGATGCTTTTATGTAGGAGAAGACCTACTTACGTATATTATTAGGTTGTAACAAGGCAATTATAGGCTGTCTGTAACAGGCTGCATCTGTTTACTGTAACAATGTCTCTGGTTGATCAGTTCTTCACAAACTAATGTTATCTTGTAAAGTTGTCCTAGATATTGGTCAGTTCTTCACAAACTAATGTTATCTTGTAAAGTTGTCCTAGATATTGGTCAGTTCTTCACAAACTAATGTTATCTTGTAAAGTTGTTCTAGATATTGGTCAGTTCTTCACAAACTAATGTTATCTTGTAAAGTTATCGTAGATATTGGACAAGCTAATGTTATCTTGTAAAGTTGTTCTAGATATTGGTCAGTTCTTCACAAACTAATGTTATCTTGTAAAGTTATCCTAGATATTGGTCAGTTCTTCACAAACTAATGTTATCTTGTAAAGTTGTCCTAGATATTGGTCAGTTCTTCACAAACTAATGTTATCTTGTAAAGTTATCGTAGATATTGGACAAGCTAATGTTATCTTGTAAAGTTGTTCTAGATATTGGTCAGTTCTTCACAAACTAATGTTATCTTGTAAAGTTGTCCTAGATATTGGTCAGTTCTTCACAAACTAATGTTATCTTGTAAAGTTGTTCTAGATATTGGTCAGTTCTTCACAAACTAATGTTATCTTGTAAAGTTGTCCTAGATATTGGTCAGTTCTTCACAAACTAATGTTATCTTGTAAAGTTATCGTAGATATTGGTCAATTCTTCACAAACTAATGTTATCTTGTAAAGTTATCGTAGATATTGGACAAGCTAATGTTATCTTGTAAAGTTGTTCTAGATATTGGTCAGTTCTTCACAAACTAATGTTATCTTGTAAAGTTGTCCTAGATATTGGTCAGTTCTTCACAAACTAATGTTATCTTGTAAAGTTGATATTGGTCAGTTCTTCACAAACTAATGTTATCTTGTATTGTCCTAGATATGGTCAGTTCTTCACAAACTAATGTTATCTTGTAAAGTTGTCCTAGATATTGGTCAGTTCTTCACAAACTAATGTTATCTTGTAAAGTTGTCCTAGATATTGGTCAGTTCTTCACAAACTAATGTTATCTTGTAAAGTTATATTAGATATTGGTCAGTTCTTCACAAACTAAGGTTATCTTTTAAAGTTGTCCTAGATATTGGTCAGTTCTTCACAAACTAATGTTATCTTGTAAAGTTGTCCTAGATATTGGTCAGTTCTTCACAAACTAATGTTATCTTGTATAGTTATCCTAGATGTTGGTCAGTTCTTCACAAACTAATGTTATCTTGTAAAGTTGTCCTAGATATTGGTCAGTTCTTCACAAACTAATGTTATCTTGTAAAGTTATCTTAGATATAGGTCAATTCTTCACAAACTAATGTTATCTTGTAAAGTTGTCCTAGATATTGGTCAGTTCTTCACAAACTAATGTTATCTTGTAAAGTTATCTTAGATATTGGTCAGTTCTTCACAAACTAATGTTATCTTGTAAAGTTATCTTAGATATAGGTCAATTCTTCACAAACTAATGTTATCTTGTAAAGTTATCTTAGATATAGGTCAATTCTTCACAAACTAATGTTATCTTGTAAAGTTGTCCTAGATATTGGTCAGTTCTTCACAAACTAATGTTATCTTGTAAAGTTATCTTAGATATTGGTCAGTTCTTCACAAACTAATGTTATCTTGTAAAGTTGTTCTAGATATTGGTCAGTTCTTCACAAACTAATGTTATCTTGTAAAGTTATCTTAGATATTGGTCAGTTCTTCACAAACTAATGTTATCTTGTAAAGTTGTTCTAGATATTGGTCAGTTCTTCACAAACTAATGTTATCTTGTAAAGTTGTCCTAGATATTGGTCAGTTCTTCACAAACTAATGTTATCTTGTAAAGTTGTTCTAGATATTGGTCAGTTCTTCACAAACTAATGTTATCTTGTAAAGTTGTCCTAGATATTGGTCAGTTCTTCACAAACTAATGTTATCTTGTAAAGTTGTTCTAGATATTGGTCAGTTCTTCACAAACTAATGTTATCTTGTAAAGTTGTTCTAGATATTGGTCAGTTCTTCACAAACTAATGTTATCTTGTAAAGTTGTCCTAGATATTGGTCAGTTCTTCACAAACTAATGTTATCTTGTAAAGTTATCTTAGATATTGGTCAGTTCTTCACAAACTAATGTTATCTTGTAAAGTTATCTTAGATATTGGTCAGTTCTTCACAAACTAATGTTATCTTGTAAAGTTATCGTAGATATTGGACAAGCTAATGTTATCTTGTAAAGTTGTTCTAGATATTGGTCAGTTCTTCACAAACTAATGTTATCTTGTAAAGTTGTCCTAGATATTGGTCAGTTCTTCACAAACTAATGTTATCTTGTAAAGTTGTCCTAGATATTGGTCAGTTCTTCACAAACTAATGTTATCTTGTAAAGTTGTTCTAGATATTGGTCAGTTCTTCACAAACTAATGTTATCTTGTAAAGTTGTCCTAGATATTGGTCAGTTCTTCACAAACTAATGTTATCTTGTAAAGTTGTTCTAGATATTGGTCAGTTCTTCACAAACTAATGTTATCTTGTAAAGTTGTCTTATTGTAACAAACTAATGTTATCTTGTAAAGTTGTCTAGATATTGGTCAGTTCTTCACAAACTAATGTTATCTTGTAAAGTTATCTTAGATATTGGTCAGTTCTTCACAAACTAATGTTATCTTGTAAAGTTATCTTAGATATTGGTCAGTTCTTCACAAACTAATGTTATCTTGT